ATTTTCAATTGAAAGAATATTTGTTCGAAATAATAATGTTTTAAGTTATTAATATTATATTTTAAAAAAAGTAATAACAAAACTTTATATTATCAAGAATAAAATAATAGATTGTCAGTTGCAATTTTTTTCTAATAAAATATTTTCGTTATTTTTTCGTCAAGTTTTTTCATTATATACACAAATAGCTCGGTAGTGGAATCCGCTTTACATGTGGTAATGAACCACATGTAAATAACAATGGAAAAAAAAAAAAACGTTATGGTTAAAAAACATAAACCAAAAAACACATTGAAATAAAGATTTTTTTTTTTCACACACAATATCTTTCTCTCTCTACCTCTCACTAAATCCATTTGAAACCCAAAAAACTATCTACTAAAGTTTTTCGGTGATGTTCTAGTGCTGTTGTCAACTGTGTAATTAAGGCAAAATGGGATGATCTAGTGATGATTTGATGTTTGATTTGCTTATTTTGTTGTAGTTAGGGTTTCGTTTGAAAAGAAAATGGTCATGGGTCAAGTTGAAATTTTGTTGGATTTGTGATTTGTGGTAACAAAGTTATCGTACGCAGTGGAATCTAAGATTTTGATGGTATCTTCTGATCGTTTTGGCTAGAATCCGACAGGTTTCACCTTAATTGGTAGCTCATTCTTCCCTATTTTTTTTCTTTCTTATTGTTTACTTACGGTTATTTTTTCTTGATTTTTTTTGGGTTCAATGTATTTTGAGCTCATGAAGGTTAGGTTTGTTGATTTGAATTTTGATTTTTTAAAATTTAAATTGAGAAAAGAAATTAGTTGGCCAAGGATTTACGGTATTCATATGCAATTAATTCATTATTTTTCATTGGTTTGGGTTTTATCCACTAATGGGAGTTGCTAATTACAATTAATTGAAGTTAATTTTGCTGGTTATTTTTACAAATATGAGAGAGAAAGAGAGATATATATATATATATATATATTTTTTTTTTTTCTTCAAGCGAAAACAGAGACATGGATGTAGATAGAGATAGAGGTAGGGTTAAGATAAAATGTTGGTGTCTATACGGATTAGGTTGTTGCTGTGAGCTTGCATCGAGAGGGAAATAACTTGACTCGACTAGTTTCGGATAACAAAACCAATACCAACCAGAGCACCAATAGCAGCTCCATCCAAATTGATAACAAAGAAGTATGAAGAAGGGAATGGCCATGTAACTAATTAAAAACCTTTCCAATCTTTCTTCTATTCCTCCAACGCCTCTTAGTCCGCCTACTACTATTATCCCTTCTCTTCGCTCAATTCCATTGACCTTGGATATGATGATAACAAGTAGCAAACTTCTTAAAATCTAGTAAACATGGTAGCCCCATTGGATTGGATTGAGTCTGTGCTTAATTTCCTAGGTGCTACTTGTGACTCACCATCGGAAAAGGGGGTAGAACTACATGCTTTTGCGTTCAGAGCACCTACTAAGCAAAGCTTAATTTCTTGAAGAGGCTGGGCTGTGTACTTTTCGGTGCCCATCTTTTCTTTAGGTGATGCATAGATAGAGTTGCATTCAAGCCAGCCAAGTCAATCACGATGAAATTGGAATTTAAGACTATAAAAACTACGTATTTTTTGCCTACCTTCCTCCCATTTTTTGCGTAAAAATAATAATAATAATAATAATAATAACAAATAAATAAAACAACAACAAGGCATATGCTTCTGATTTTGTAATGTAACAACACAGATTAATTATAATATTAGCTATACTAGGAGTAGACTAAAGGCATTTGAAACACAACTTATGGGAGCCAATCAACTATAATCAGTGAATTCGATATCCTCCATCAACCACAAGATCATGTCCAGTCACCATTTCTGAGTCATTACATACAAGAAAAAGCACAGCTTCTGCCACATGTTTTGGCTTCAAAGCAGCTCCTTTCAAGCTCATATTTGTCTCGTACATATTTTCAAGCTCCTCCACACCCTTCTTATGCGAATGGAGTGTCATCGGTGTGACCACCCCAGATGGCGAGACGCAGTTCACCCTAATGCCGTGCACGCCTAGCTGCAAGCTTGCTGATCTTACCAGTCCTAGCACAGCATGCTTGGACATATGGTAATCAGTTCCCCTTCTGCCTCCATTGCTAGCAGCCAAGCTACCTGTGCACACTATACTCCCTCTCACACGCCGTTCGACCATTATCCGAGCCGCATGCTTAACACACGTGGCCATTCCGCGAACATTGACTGCAAATAATTGCTCAAATTCTGAAAGGTCGAGATTGAGGATGGTCTGATCTGAGTTCCCAAGAATTCCGGCGTTGCTGAACATTATGTCCAGCCGACCAAAATTTTTGGCAGTCCACTCCACCAATGACTTCACTTGCTCTTCGTCAGTAACATCACAGTGCCTGTAATTACACTTGTGGGGTCCAATTGATGTAGCTACTTGGTGGCCTAATTCATCTTGGATATCAGCAATAACCACAATACGAGCACCATGATCGGCAAAAAGACGGGCAGCGGCTTCGCCAATTCCGCTTGCCCCGCCAGTGATTATTGCTACTTTGCCTGCTAGTTTCTTGTTATTGAACGATGGGTTTTCTGCCATTGTATAAATTAAGGTGCCACACGATTGGGATCGATAAAGCAAGCAACAACTTTTACATATATGTTACAAGAAGCTTGGCTCTATATAGGACAACCTTTCTGTCTAGGGTAGGCTTAAAACATCATCATGCGACACAATACATGCCAAATTGTGCGTAACGTTACACTCTAGGTGCAAGCTTAATTTAAGGTTTTGTATTTTAAACAGATATATGGGATCTTAATGATTTCAATTTTCTCGATTACAATATGATAAAAAAAGGATCATCTTTCATTTGAAGTATAAGATCGACACGGAAACCTCTCACAACGAATGAATAAATAAACAAAGTACACATAACAGTACACGTGCTATTAATCTCATTTAGCATTATGTTTGAAATGTAAGCTATAATAAATAAAAACAATTATGCAAAAGTGTAAACTATAATCAATAATTACAATTATGCGAAAAAAATAAAACATAAATTCAATATTTTCATATCATCTTAGAACTTCATGTTTTTCATTTTTTTTTTTTAAAAAAATTACTTGATTCGTATTTTGACTTTTGAACTAATATTGAGATTACTAAGGTAATCAATACCCAAAAACAAGTGGATGAAAAATTATTTCTGTCTTCATCTCTTTTTTTTTCCTTAACGATAAAAATTGATATTCTGATATTGTTATTTTTTAGATATGAGATTGTGAGAAAACTATCTTTCTTTCATAGTTTTAACTCAAATTTTTCATCAAGATTTATACATGTATCTTAATTGATTATATTTATTATAATTAATTAGACATATTCTATAATATGCATGTATTATAAATAAGTACATGTATTTTACATTTCAAAACCATTGACCTATCACTATCGATTCGTCTGTTTTTTTTCCTTTTATTGTTTGATTTTGTTTATATATTACTTTTTTTTGTTCGGCATTACAATCAATATGTTTATCATGTTTTTAATCAAAGATACGCAGGATCTACTGATTTAGGGTCGCAATATAAACGTGAATATCCCAGCCGACTGAAAAAAACTTTATTGACTACTAAAGTGAAAAGCATTTGATAGTTGTGTTAAATGTCTAAATGTTAATTGGACTCTTAAATTCATGTACGTCATCCAAACCCACAATGGCTATTGAAACGTGTGATATAATTAAATTAGATACTTATGCATTTTCGCTTTCATTCACCTATTCGATCAAAAGGTTAAAGGGGATCTCAATAATTGATGGACAATCCATTTACCATTGCCTTAGCATATAAACGTTGGAATTGTTGTTGTTGTTATTATTATTTGGTACAAGGGGAATAGGACAAGAAATTAAGACCTCAAAAAACCAATTACGCAGCATCATTGAAAATAAAGGTTAATAGTTAAAAATAAAGGTTAATAGCATCAAACATCCTTCTATTTTTTTTTATTTTTTTTAAGCTGATCACCATATTTTTTTCCAACCCTTTCTATATATATTTTTTAAAATTTTTTCTTAATGTGGCTTATAAGTTATTTTCCCATCAATTTTTTATTTGAAACTAACATCTAGCAAAATAAATAAATAAATCCACGTGGCATATTATATAATTTTGTTGCCCCCACTGAAAACTAAAAAAACTAAGCATGTTCCTCTTTTTTAAAAAAAAAAAAAAAAAAAAAAAAAAAATTTGATCACCTAGAAGAAAGAACAAGCAGCTTCAATTCAAAAACAGACGATTTAACCATCAAATTTATAGTTGTTTAAGACACAAATCTAAACTCTCCATCAAAAGTCATCGATCAAACAAGCTTTACATCTGTTGAAATTTCTCATATTCCATTTCACATTTCCTCAATTTTCTCTGCAGTCAGACAACCGCTTCTGAACAATTAACTAAATACCTTTATTATTTTGGGTAGCACATGATTTTTGTGCAACTTCTTGTCAAGGAAATCAGAAATGGAAATGCAAGACTTCTTCTTTGAATCTTTCTTTTTCCCATCTTGTTTTGAGTCCTTAGCCCTGATAAAAAATTACCCAGATATCTAATAGCTTATAGAAGATTTGGTATTCAATTCAAAAGCATTTGAAGAGATTGTGAGACATGGGACTAGAGATATTAGTGCATAAATCTTCCGTTAAAATTAACCAACAAATAATAATAGAAAATGAATAAAAATGAAGTTGGTGATTGTTTGCTTACGAATTTGAAAAGCGAAAGATGAGTACCTTCTTAGACCCGGTGAGCTTCAGTTCCAATCAAAACCTAATGATCTATCTCGATTAGACGACGGTGTCTTTAATCCCAGAATTGCAATCATTTTCATCCATTTAGATTTACTCAACCCAGTTGGGTAATCAAAGGGGAAGGTTTAGAAATCAAAACTGTACCAGCATGTGTCCGGTGCTAATGTAAAATCAGCCCCTAGCTTAATTTCATTTTTCAGACAGTTCAAAATTGACTTGAAGTACATCCATCCTATCCAAGGAGATAAAATTGTGGATGACTCCATACACAACCACACTGCCGTATCCAGCACTCTTATTCACTCCTCTACTTTCCATGGTTTCCCTAATCTTTTTAGAGTAGCTCCACCATCCACTAGCAGCATATATGTTAGACAACATGTATCCGCCATCTTCTTCAGGGTCTAAATTTAGTAGCTTCCTGGAAGCTATCTCTGCCATTTCCACATCTCCTTGAGCTTGGCAAGCATTTAGTATTGCCCCCCAGACGGATCGACTTGGGTTCAAGGGCATCTGACCAATGATATCTTTTCTATTATTATTTTCTCCGATGCATCAAGCTTTATGATCTGGTATGATGCTCATGAGTGCCTTCTCCTATGTCTTTAAATCTTTAAAATCATCTATGTGTTTGATGATGCATTGCGATGAAGTTTTGCTGGTTAGATCCGGATAGAGGAGAGAGAAAATACCTTTTTGTGTTATTAAATATATTTTCACGAGGAGTTTTTTTTTTTTTTTTAGGGCTCCGTTTGTTTGGTCAAAAAACCTTTCGATAAAAAAAAATTATTTTTTAGAAAGTTGTTTTTCAAAAAATATTTTTTAATATTTGATAATTATATGTTGAAAAATATATTTCAATAAAAGTAAACAAACGATTCGATTAACCGAAAATCGAATACAACCGAACCGACTTATGAAATTTGGCTCGATTCGGTTTTTGACCAAAAAAATTTGGTTTAAACCGAAAATCGAAATAAACAATCCTAATTTCTAATTTTCTAAATCCCTAACCTTAAAGGCCAAAGCTGACTACTTTGGCCTGTCGCCTATTTGTCTCTGCCTCTCTCACTCATTGTCATTGCCTAACACTTAACTTCAATCTCATCTCTCACTCTCTCTTTCGACTCGTCTTCTTCTTCTCATCGTCTCACACAGTCACTCATTGCTTCTGTCTTCTTCCCAAACCTCCTTGGCTCCTTTTGCTTCATTCCCTTTTTCGCCCACAATCCAAAGGTTAGTCTCTTTTATTTATTTATTTATTTTTATTTTACTGATAAATGATAATAATAATGTATTGGCAAAAGAATTAAGAATGTATGAGTTGAATTCCTAATAACTTCCTCCTCCTCCTACTCAGGTCTCAAGCTGCATCAACCCTCAACCGCTTTTGCTTGTGCAAGTCAACAAGTGGGACTTGTAAATTTTCATTTTCTGTGCATGTCTAATGTCTTTCACTGCTACTACTTACCGTAATTACTAATTAAATTTTCATTTTTGTAACATTTCTAAATTAAAATACAATACCACCTAGCAAGTGGGATTGTGGGAGGAGGCTCAAGGCCATCCAAGCTAGACCTCGTTTTATCTATATTTCTAAACTGTCTTTTGTTGTGAACAAATCATTTTCAATTAGGATTGTCTACAAATGTTAAGATTCCTTTTTGTTTGGTTTTGTGGATTTGATTAGATATATTTCAAATTTGATTAGATTTATTTCATGTAAGGAAACTCATTTTGTGTTTTCGTGAATTATGATCATTTCACTACTTAATTTTAAAATTTTGTGCTTATGTTTTGCCATTACATAGCTCGTTGTTAATGTTGATTAGTCAAGTTTTGTATTGATTTTGTTTTGCTTTGATTAGCTATTTGATAAATTGGTAAAGATCCCAATTGTTTTAATGAAGTTAGGAGGTCAGTATTAGTGAATGATGTAAAGATCCCAATTGTTTTTAAAGCCACTACAGGTGGCAGTGTGGCACCGCCCACCGGTTGCTACATCGCTGGTAGATCGGCAGTCGTCGCTCGGTGGTCATGGTTGTGATTCTTCACATCCCCCGTCCCCTAAAGATTCAAGGCATAGATGCCTCTCAACATTTTCATCTAGTTTACCAGATGTGGTCGTGTGGGATACAAGTACCTACCTCTTTCTCTTTCACTACTTCTTTCAATTAGTCTTGCATCAAAAAGCTTTGTTTCTACTTGTTTCATATTTTTGCATCAAAACATAATGTTATATTGTAATTGCATATTTTCATCGATTCATCCTCTCCTTGTTGTATTGTAATTGTCGTATCAAAGAGCTCGGTTTGGCTAGGAATTGAGCCGACCTGGGGGACAACCGAATAGGGGAATTACATGGAGTAGTAATACCTTATGTCCTTACTCCTTAATAACTTAGTAGCTATTGATGAAAGTTTTCAACCATTGAGCTCGGTTTAAAACCATGTGAATTTTGTTAATTTCTCGCCATCGTGAATTTTTAAAGCCATTGGACTTTATTAGTTAATGTCGTAGCGAGTAGGCCAATAGCAAATGGCTTTAAACCAAATTGTTAAGTTCTTTTTTTCTTTTTTTTTTACAAGCAAAAATTTTGGTTAAACTCGAATTATTTTGATACCGAACAAAAATAATTCGGTTACAAAACGAATTAATTTTAGTTCAAATTTGGTTTTCATTTTTCCTAATTCGGTTAATCGAAAATCGAATCGAATTAAGCTTAATCGAACCGTTTAACCGAATGATCACCCTTATATTTCGAGTGTTTGTTTAATAGAGAAAATTGAAATACAAAAACATACTATAATTGTTACATCAACGAATTTTGAAGAAACTTCAACAAGACATATTCACAATTTCACAATATAAGATGCATTTAGAAAAGTTTAATAAATTTTTATAAATATTGATCGTAAGATTTAAATTCAAAAAATATAATGTATATTTTTAACTATCAAAACAATTCATCAAACTTACTTGGGACAAAATCAAGTTAATATTTACATTTAGTAAAAAAATAAAAAATTAAGTAATCATAGCATTGTTAGTTTGGTAACTCATTTAAGATTTTTTTTTTTTTTTTGAAATTGAACCGATAATTTAGTCTAAAAAATAGTTTTATAAATTATTAGTTATCATTTGTAGATAATTATTCATTTGGTTTCAAAAGATTAATGTTGGAATAATTTGTAACTAATTATTGACTACAATTACCAATAAAATTTTACAACCGATTAAAATTAGTCACAAATTATTGATTTACTTGCAAATGAATAGTATTGAAAAAATAATATATTTATTAACAAATTAATTAGTTTCAATTTTTTCACAAATGATTGCGATCTTGTAATAATCATTTTCAATCATTTAAGTGTAGTTTAGAAAGTGTTTGAGATAATGGTAAAGAGATAAATTATTGAAATATTTATTATAAAAATAATTTTAAGGTGTAAAATAAGAAGAAAGAGTTTAAGCCCACCAATAGTCCAATTTCTAATCACTCCTAATATATATATATATTAGGTGTCAAACTCTTTAAACCCACCAATAGTCCATTTTCGTTGCCCCACAGATAAGAAGAAAGAGTTTTTCAATGGTGAAAATTGAATCATTGACATGGTGATTAAAAAATATTCTTCTTACCACTACACTTACCATCTTCAGTGGTAACTGTTTAATTTTATGCCTTGAAGAAACAATGATAGTGCATATATTTGTGAAAATACATCCATTACCAATAAGTTAAAGTATCTATTACCTGATTTGGATGTTATATGCATGATTATAGCTCACTTTAATTCTTTTAATCCAACCACTCAATTTCTTATTTACATTAAATATTCCATAATTTATTCAAAAGAAAAAAGGAAAAAAAAATCAAAATAATAATGTCTTAGAGTGATTGTTTAATTTTATACGTCATAGAATAAGAATTATAGTATATATATATATAATGAAGAATGCTGAATCCATTTCAAATTATTGATAAATAAACCTCTCACCACTAATCATATTCAATCAATTAGATGTATGTTTTATTTTAAAACAAATTAAAAAATAGTATTGAAAAATAATTTAAAAATAAATGACAAGACATATTATTAATTGCATTGTCTTCGTCTATGTAAAAAATCGAATGGTACTAAAACTTTAAAATTGAAGAAAAGACAAAAAGAAAAACAAAAGAAAATAATTTAAAACTCAATATCTTATTTACATTAAATATTCCATAATTTATTCAAATAAAAAAAGAAAAAAAGAAAAAAAATCAAAATAATAATGTCTTAGAGTGATTGTTTAATTTTATACATCATAGAATAAGAATTATAGTGTATATATATATATATATATAATGAAGAATGCTGAATCCATTTCAAATTATTGATAAATAAACCTCTCACCACTAATCATATTCAATCAATTTGATGTATGTTTTATTTTAAAACAAATTAAAAATAATATAGAAAAATAATTTAAAAATAAATGACAAGACATATTATTAATTGCATTGTCTTTGTCTATGTAAAAAAATCGAATGGGACTAAAACTTTAAAATTGAAGAAAAGAAAAAAAAAACAAAAGAAAATAATTTAAAACTCAATTTCTTATTTACATTAAATATTCCATATTTTATTCAAATAAAAAAAGAAAAAAAAGAAAAAAATCAAAATAATAATGTCTTAGAGTGATTGTTTAATTTTATACATCATAGAATAAGAATTATAGTATATATATATATATATAATGAAGAATGCTGAATCCATTTCAAATTATTGATAAATAAACCTCTCACCACTAATCATATTCAATCAATTAGATGTATGTTTTATTTTAAAACAAATTAAAAAATAGTATTGAAAAATAATTTAAAAATAAATGACAAGACATATTATTAATTGCATTGTCTTCGTCTATGTAAAAAATCGAATGGTACTAAAACTTTAAAATTGAAGAAAAGACAAAAAGAAAAACAAAAGAAAATAATTTAAAACTCAATATCTTATTTACATTAAATATTCCATAATTTATTCAAATAAAAAAAGAAAAAAGAAAAAAAATCAAAATAATAATGTCTTAGAGTGATTGTTTAATTTTATACATCATAGAATAAGAATTATAGTATATATAGTATATATATATATATAATGAAGAATGCTGAATCCATTTCAAATTATTGATAAATAAACCTCTCACCACTAATCATATTCAATCAATTTGATGTATGTTTTATTTTAAAACAAATTAAAAATAATATAGAAAAATAATTTAAAAATAAATGACAAGACATATTATTAATTGCATTGTCTTCGTCTATGTAAAAAAATCGAATGGGACTAAAACTTTAAAATTGAAGAAGCTACTTAAGCTGGCTACCATTTAAGAGCAAATAATTCAAGTGTTTAAAAAAACCTATAGTTTAGGGATTTCTGGTTCCCGGTTAACAAGCTTTTGGCTCGAAGGAAAAGAAATTCAAATGAAGAAGACGGCATGCGAGGTTTTCTTTCTTTCTT